CCCAGGGTGATGATATTTAGTCAGTAGCATACTAGGATCAAGGGCTACCAAGTTTGTTTAAATGTATGACCTTGAATCATATTCAAGGTCACAAGGAGCAAATATGGTCAAAATATAAAAAAAAAAATAAACAACTTGTTCTGAATAACCAAAAGGCTCAGGATGTTGATATTTAGTCAGTAGCATGCTGGGATCAAGGACTACTATGTTTGTTAAAGTGAATGACTTTGACTTATATTCAAGGTCACAGGGGTCAAATTTGTTTAAAATCTTTAATCGACCTCTTCTGAATAACCATGGGTCCCAGGATGTTGATACTTTACAAGTTGCATCCTGAGATGAAAGGCTATAAAATTTGTTCAACATATGACTTTGTTCGACTTTCAATCACAGGGGTGAAATGTTTAAAAAAAAAAATAACAGGTTCTTTTGAATGAATTTTAATCATAAATACTGATATTTTATTTTGCCTGTAGCTTTATTTTAGATCACTTTTAAGGTTACAAGTGTGAGATTTATACCAGGAGAGCGATGCAGGCCGATTGGGCCTCTTGTTACCCTAGGCCTCTTGGTTATTCGGAAGAAGTTGTTTAAAGGTTTTAAACAAATTGGACCCCTGTGACTTTGAATATAGGTCAAGGTCATTCATTTGAACAACCTGCCCAGTAGCCATTCATCCCTGCATGTTACTGGCCAAATATAATTACCCTAGGCAAATTGGTTATTCAGAAGAAGTTGTTTAAAGATTTCAACATATTTGACCCCTGTGACCTTGAATATAAGTCAAGGACATTCATTTGAACAAACATGGTAGCCCTTCATCCCAGCATGTTACTGGCCAAATATCAATACTGTAGGCATCTTGATTATTCAGAATAAGTTTTTTTAAAGGTTTAAAACATAGTTGACAACTGTGACCTTGAAAATGGATGACGGTCATTCATTTGAACAAACTTGGTAGCCCTTCATCCCAGCATGCTACTGGCCAAATATCATCACCCTGGGCATTTTGGTTATTCAGAAAAAGTTGTTTAAAGGTTTTAAACATATTTGACCCTTGTGACCTTGAAAGTGGGTCAAGGTCATTTATTTGAACAAACTTTGTAGCCCTTCATCTTAGCATGGCGAATTGGTTATTGAGAAGAAGTTGTTTAAAGTAAAAAGTTGACATCGGACTGACGGACGGACGATGAACACTGCACTATGGTATAAGCTCACTTGCCCTTTTGGCAGATGAGCTGAAAACAGAATATTGTAATATCAATTAATTTTGCTATTTATTAAAGATTATAATTTTTGACATTATTGCATTAATATTTATCCAGCATCTCTAAAGGAGTTTTAAACTTACCACACAATTAATATATATATAATTCCATGGCTAGAATCCTGTAATAGTTCTTTACTTCATGTAAAGGCAAGTTCCACTGTGAAAGTTATTATCAGAAGACAAGAGGCCCANTCATCACCCTGGGCATTTTGGTTATTCAGAAAAAGTTGTTTAAAGGTTTTAAACATATTTGACCCTTGTGACCTTGAAAGTGGGTCAAGGTCATTTATTTGAACAAACTTTGTAGCCCTTCATCTTAGCATGGCGAATTGGTTATTGAGAAGAAGTTGTTTAAAGTAAAAAGTTGACATCGGACTGACGGACGGACGATGAACACTGCACCATGGTATAAGCTCACTTGCCCTTTTGGCAGATGAGCTAAAAACAGAATATTGTAATATTAATTAATTTTGCTATTTATTAAAGATTATAATTTTTGACAGTATTGCATAAATATTTATCCAGCATCTCTAAAGGAGTTTTAAACTTACCACACAATTAATATATAAAAGTCCAATTCCATGGCTAGAATCCTGTAATAGTTCTTTACTTAATGTAAAGGCAAGTTCCACTGTGAAAGTTATTATCAGAAGAAAACTTCCCCTTGAAACTGTTTTTTCAACTTTCACTATCATTCCTTTTTTATAGACAATGAAGGTCAATGCAGCTTTCTGGCCAAGAGTCATTTCCCCTGTCAAGTTATTCATCTGCCATTTCGGTGTGGATTTAGAATTTCTGGTTAGCAACATTGATAAAGTGTATGATTTGCATTTGATAGGTCCAAAGTTTGATCAGAGAAGTTTCATTTTGTTTATTTTGGTTTTCAAATACTCAGATTTTGACATTTTGAATATGATGAATGAAAACTTAACAGAGATCACCAAAGTCAAGGTCACATATTAAAGTCATTCAACATTTCCTATTCATCAAAGTGCATAAGCATGTGAAGTCAGCTAACCCTAGCTTCAGTGCTTCGTCCTGGGCAGACCTTAAGGATCCCTGTCCCACTGCACTGTGGTTTTCTCTATATACAGTAACTCAACCCTTAACTTTGGATATAACTGTAGTATACTTTGGCTAAATACAGCCACCTCTGTCGACCAGGTAGTAGCTCAATCAGTTAGAGCGATAGTATATCAATCTGAAGCCAAGGGTTCAAATCCGGAACCGGTTAATTTTTACACTCAGAACACTGTTGTTGATTTCTATTTTCCATATCTATTACATGCATGTATTTCCTATAAAAGCCACTTAAGGTATGGTTTTCTTTTCAGAAATATTTATCAAAGCTACACTTAGTTACAGTTTTAGGCAGTGGTACAGGGATCCTTAAAATCTATCCATGTTTACTGAACATTTATCTTTCACACCTCACAAGCAGTCAAGCGATGTAAGATTTTAAAGGACTGAACAAAAAGAACTGCCAATGATGCTGTCAACAAACGCTATTAAGTAAATATCATGAGATCACAGCAACCTATTTGGCACACATTTGGAGAGATACGTTCAGTAAATTTCACTCACCAAATGTAAGTCATACAAATCAGAAAATTTAATGTTTTTTTGTTGGATAACAAATGTTTTTCACATACATAGCAGATAATTAAAAAAATTAAAAATTAAAAAAAATTGCACCTGTGGAAATATTGGTATTTTGCCAAATGGATGAAAGCAATTACATATTGGACTGCAAACCAATACATACCCTCAATTTAAGCTATTCTAACTGGTCGAACCTGCAATGTTTGAGTGTGATATCCTGATTAACATTATATGATGGGTAATTCAGTTAATGTCTTATTATAAAATCTGTGATTTCATATCTTAACATGCATCAACTACTTAAATTCATTGTGAAACCTGTCTAGTCTGACACCCTAAGATCTAACAAACTGGTTGGATTCAACAGGTTGCCAACATAAACAGGTTATATATGAAGTGTATTTTTGAGGTAACAGCTGTTTGTACTCTAACACAAGCCTTCTCAATCAGGCCAGCACAATCTGGTGGGTCTACTAATCCAGCCAACATTAATCTAGTTGTCCTACTGTCCAGTCACCATTAATCTAGTTGTCCTACTATCGTGGTACCATTAATCTGGTTGGTTTACTCAACAGCCATCACTAATCTGGTTGTCCTTCTATACAGCCATCACTTTTACGGTTGTTTCACTAACCAGCTACCACTTATATGATTGTTCCACTATCCAGCCAACATTTATCTAGTTGTCCTACTATCCAGCCATCATTAATCTAGTTGTCCCACTATCCAGCCATCACTAATCTAGTTGTCCTACTGTCAAGCCACCATTAATTTAGTTGTCCCACTATCCAGCCATCACTAATCTAGTTGTCCTACAGTCAAGCCACCATTAATCTAGTTGTCCTACTATCCAGCTACTACTTACATGATTGTTCCACTATCCAGCCACCATTAATCTAGTTGTCCCACTATCTAGCTACCACTTACATGATTGTTCCACTATCCAGCCATTATTGATCTAGTTGTCCCACTATCCAGCCACCATTTGTCAGGTTTTTTACCCTACATCCATCACTAATATGGTTGTCCTACTATCCAGCCATCACTAATCTAGTTGTCCCACTATCTAGCTACCAATTATATGATTGTTTCACTATCCAGCCACCACTAATCTGGTTGTCACAATATCCAGCAACCACTAATCTAGTTGTCCCACTATCTAGCTACAACTTACATGTTTGTCCTACTATCCAGCCACCATTAATCTAGTTGTCCCACTATCTAGCTACCAATTATATGATTGTTCCACTATCCAGCCACCACTAATCTGGTTGTCCTACTAATCAAGCCACCATTAATCTAGTTGGTCTACTCCACAGCCACCACTTATTTGGTTGTCCCACCATCCAACCTGGTTGTCCAACTATTCAGCCACCACTGTTCAGGCTGCAGAAACCACTAATTAAATGAGGTTGTCCCACCATCCACATATCACTAATATCAATTCAAACCTGTTAGGTCTAGTGTAAAGTTCTACGATTCAATTTACTCTAAAAATAACGCTGTGAAAATGACTGCTCGCAGTATCCATGACTTTGTAAAATAAAAAAAAAGAAGTCAATAAAACAATTTTACAAATAATTTTATTTCTGTAACAATGAACACGTCATGTTTCAAAATACATCAATTTTATTAACCTGACAAATTAAAGCAGTAGAAAGAAGAATTTTCCAAAATGCATGGAGTTTCATTTTCTATTTCAATTCATACCACTAGGAAAGAATGGCCGACCTTTGTAACTTGTTTGTATTGGCAAACTGACCTTTGTAACTTGTTTGTATTGGCAAACTGCTGACCTTTCATCTCCTTCATTTACACAATGTTTTCTGCAGTTTTTCAAGAGAGCATCCAAGTTCACTTGCTATATTGAAACAATGTTTACACTTGTACCTGTTAAAAAGTCAGAACCTGTTGAACATTTCTTCTTCTGCGAAGCTTTTAATCCTTGAGTAAAGGCAAAATGCCAATTGCCCACTAGTATCACAGACGTCTTTGTCACCCATCCTAAATGGCCTTTGACGTTATGAAATTTGTAATTTGTGTTTTCACAGATAAACGTGTAAACAAAACAAGAAAATCTGCGCATTTCTTCACAGATAAACATGTAAACAAAACAAGAAAATCTGCGCATTTCCATGTCATATGGTCTCTTTACATCACCAACCGTTTTTTCTTGTTTACTCATTCATCCTTTGACGGGCAAGTAGGCTCAGCCGAGGAGTCACGATCCTGCGGTATCCCCAGTAACAAGTCAGAGTAGTGCCACCTGGTGTTGAGACGTAGTATTGATGCCCAACACATTCTACACAAAGTCATATAAATATCTCAGAACGTCAAATCCCACGGTTCTGTAAAAGATCAACAAAAATCTTTCATCAGCACAGATATTTTTGAGGACCTATATTATTATTTATTACGGTAGTACTGACCAGCATATTCAAACAATGGTAAATCCAATTGTGATTGTGTGAGGTTCAAATGGTAAGACACACCATGATATTTAAATTTCTGTTAAGTAACAATATTTATCTGATGTTAAGTCATTCTGTTACACATATGACTTCCAGGTCACACCCTTGGCACATTTTTTATTCACCACTTTTTTTAGAATTCTTAATACTTTTGAGATTTTAATAGTACTTTAAACATTTCGATGCTATTATTTCTGAATTATTTCAGCATGTCACAAAATGTCTAAACAAATTTATAGAATATTTTGGTCCATATACTTAACAATAGGAAATAAAGTTAAAACATCTTATCCACCAGACAATGGAATGGAAAGCAGTACCCCAAATTGTGTCCAGTTTGCTACACAATGAAACTTAATGGTGGAAATGGAAGTTTTTACAAGAGGCCCAAGGGCCTTAGCGGTCACCTGAGTTATATCATAGGTACTGGTAGCTTTATTTCATTGTTTAGATGTGATGTGGAAACCAGCATGTAAACTAAGTGAAATACAATACTTGTCATGTCATCAAAGGATAAGAATTTTAAAATATAGGTAAATGTTTCCTTTGGGGCCCCGCCCTGGCACCTGGGGATGGGGCAGGAATTCTAATTTTACAATGTAATACCCTCATCCACCAAAAATGATTCTGACCAAGTTTGAATAACTTTCTGCTGAAAATGGATAAAATATACCCAAAAGTGTTATTTCCCTATATAAACTATAGTAAACTTTACCCCCTCCCACAGGGAGAAGGGATGGCCCGTGGGTCCTGAAATTTATAAAATTTAAATAAAGCGCATGATGATCTTTCCATCCATGCAGAGAAAATGACTGTAGTACCCCTCTGAGTCTTGAGAAGAAGATTTTTGAAATATTGGTTAATTTTCCCTTTTGGGGCCCCGCCCTGGTCCCAGGGGTTGGGGTAGGAATCCCAAATTTATAATTTAAAACCATCTTCCTCCAAGGATAATTCTCACCAAGTAAGAATAATTTCCTACAGAAAATTGTCAAAATATACCCAAAAGTGTTGTTTCCCTATATAAACTATAGTAAACTTTACCCCCTCCCCAAGGGAGAACGGATAGCTTGGGGGTCCTGAAATTTACAATTTAAACAAGAGGCCCAAAGGTCCTGTATCGCTCATCTGGATATCTAAGCAATCATGGCAAAATATTCTCCAAATGAGATCCAAGGGCAAGGGAATATGCCAGACCTCAAGGCAAATCCTTGTAGCATATCTGTATTAGATTTGTCATGACCAGCAATTTAATGTATGGTTATGGGGTGGGGATCTCAACTGTTTCGAAGCTGCGACTCAGAAACTAGGTCCCTAGGGTTGTGGCTAGTCTCTTTTTGCCCAGCATTCGTATTTATAGTTTTGGGGTGGGGATCTCAACCGTTTCAAAGTTATGACCCACGGGTTAAGTCTGCAAGGGTGGGGCAGACCCTGGGGTCAATTCTAATATCATGACTGCATTCGTCTCTTTATGTCCAACAATTGTATATATAGTTTTGGGGTGAGAATCTTAACCATTTCGAAGTTATGACCCAGGGGTTAAGTCTCCAAGGGTGGGGCAAACCCCAAAGCCATCCTGGAAGCATACATTGTATGTGCATTTATCTCTTTATATTCAGCAATTGTATATATGGTTATAGGGTAGGGATCTCAACTATTTTNCAAACCCCAAAGCCATCCTGGAAGCATACATTGTATGTGCATTCATCTCTTTATATTCAGCAATTGTATATATGGTTATAGAGTAGGGATCTCAACTATTTCCAAGCTGTGACTAAGAAACTAGTTCCCTAGGGGTTTGGTTAGACCCCAGGGTCTATTCTAATATCATGACTACATTCGTCTCTTTATGCCCAGTATTTATATATATAGTTTTGGGGTGGGGATCTCAACTGTTTCAAAGTTATGACCGTGGGACTATGTCTCATAGGGTGGGGCCAGACTCTAGGGACATCCTGGAAGCAAATATGCATTCTTCTCTTTATACTCAGCAATTGTATATATGGTTATATGGTGGCGATCTAAACCATTTCTAAGTAATAAACCTTTTTTGGCCCCACCCCTTAGCCCGGGGGGTCAGCCCCACCATTTGTACAATTTTGAATCTCCACTACCTAGGGATACTTTCAGTCAAATATGGTTGATATATATCTCCTAATTCTAGAGAAGTCGCTTAAATCAATATAGCCAAATTGCCCCCTTTTGGCGCCGCCCCTCAGCCCCCATGGGGGGTCATCCACATCATTTGTACAATTTTGAATCCTCACTACCTAGGGATGCTTCCGATCAAATATGGTTGATATCCTTTACTTAANTCCATTACTTAGTTCTACAGAAGAAGTCACTTAAAGCAGTATAGTCACATAACCCTTTTTGGCCCCGCCCCTCAGCCCCCTGGGGGTCAGCCACACTATTTGTACAATTTTGAATCCTCACTACCTAGGGATGCTTCCAGTCAAATATGGTTGATATCCATTACTTAATTCTACAGAAGAAGTCACTTAAAGCAGTATAGTCACATAACCCTTTTTGGCCCCGCCCCTCAGCCCCCTGGGGGTCAGCCACACTATTTGTACAATTTTGAATCCTCACTACCTAGGGATGCTTCCAGTCAAATATGGTTGATATCCATTACTTAACTCTACAGAAGAAGTCACTTAAAGCAGTATAGTCACATAACCCTTTTTGGCCCCGCCCCTCAGCCCCCTGGGGGGTCAGCCACAACATTTGTACATTTTTGAATCCCTGCCTACCATGAATGGTTTTGATAAAATATGATTGATATCCAGTGCATAGTTCTACAGAAGAAGTCGTTTGTAGCAATATAGCCAAATTGCCCCCTTTTGGCCCCGCACCTCAGCCCCCTAGGGGTCAGACCCACCATTTGTACACTTTTGAAGCTCCACTACCTAGGGATGCTTCCAGTCAAATATGGTTGATATCCATTGCTTAGTTCCAGAGAAGAAGTCGCTTAAAGCAAAATAGCCAAATTGACCCCCTTTGTATGCCTCTCAGCCGCCTGGGGGGTCAGCCCAACCATTTGTACAATTTTGAATCCACACCACCTGAGGATGCTTCAAGTCAAATTTAGTTGAATTCCAATCAGTGGTTAAGAAGAAGAAGTCGTTTAAAGAAATTGTTGACGTACGGACCGACGGACGACGGATGCCACGGTATGGCATAAGCTCACCTTGGTCCTTCAGACCCGGTGAGCTAATAAAGCCCATGACGACCTTTCCATCCATGCAGAGAAAATGACTGAAGTACCTCTGAGTCTTGAGAAGAAGATTTTTGAAATATTGGTAAATTTTCCCTTTGGGGCCCCGCCCTGGCCCCAGGGGTTGGGGTAGGAATCCCAAATTTACATATTTGTAGCCTCATCTACCAAGGATGATTCTGACCAAGTTTGAAAAATTTCCATCCGCTGGTTCTTGAGAAGAAGTTGAAAATGTAAAAAGTTTACGGACGACGACGGACGGAAAGTGATCGGAATAGGTCACTTGAGCAAAGCTCAGGTGACCTAATAAGAGTGATGTTCCTCTACAGAGCTAGAAAATAATGGTAGCCCTATAGTCTAAGACTAGTGAAATCTCTAGCTGGACTAAAAGCCACTAACCCCATTGACAAGTCAAAATTTTACACTGATATTGGGATAGTTGAATTTGCAGGTGGACTATTCAAATTGGAAACAAGTAGTTCTACTTGATAGTGGTTTTAAAACCAATGTTCTAGCCCTGCTCTGAGTAGGAAGGAACAACAACCATAGGTAGCCTGGTACAGTAGTGACTAGTTAACACAGGTAGGCTGGTACATTGGTTACTAGGTAACGCAGGTAGCATGGTACAGTGGTTACTAGGTAACACAGGTAGCCTGGTACAGTGGTTACTAGGTAATAGAGGTACACAGGTTGGTATATACGTAGGTAACACAGGTAGACTGGTACATTGGTTACTATAGGTAACACAGGTAGGCTGGTACAGTGGTTACTAGGTAACACAGGTAGACTGGTATATTAGTTACTAGGTAACAGAGGTAGCCAGGTAGAGTGGTTACTAGGTAACACATGAAGACTGGTACAGTAGTGACTAGTTAACACAGGTAGACTAGTACAGTGGTAACTAGGTACGCATGTAACCTGGTACAGTGGTTACAAGGTAACATAGGTTACCTGATACAGTGGTTACTAGGTAACACAGGTAGAGTGGTACAGTGGTTACAAGTTAACACAGGTAGAGTGGTACAGTAATTACTAGTTAACACAGGTAACCTGGTACAGTGGTTACTAGGTAACACATGTAGACTGGTACAGTGGTTACTAGGTAACACAGGTCCCTGGTACAGTGGTTCCTAGGCTTACAAGTAGCCTGGTACAGTTGTTACTAGGTAACACATGTAACCTGGTACAGTGGTTACTAGGTGACATATGTAGCTCGGTACAGTGATAACTAGGTAACATAGGTAGCCTTGTACATTGGTCATTAGGTTACACAGGTAGACTACAGTGATTAGTAGGTCATACAGTTAGCTTGGTACAGTGGTTACTAGGTAAAACAGGTAGCCTTGTACAGTGGTTACTAGGTAACACAGGTAACTTGGTACAGTGGTCACTAGGTAACACATGTAGCTTGGTACAGTGGTTACTAGGAAACACAGGTAACTTAGTACAGTGGTTACTAGATAACACAGGTAGACTGGTACAGTGGTTACAAGTTAACACATGTAACCTGGTACAGTGGTTACTAGGTAACACATGTAGCCTGGTACAGTGGTTACTAGGTGACATATGTAGCTTGGTACAGTGATAACTAGGTAACATAGGTAGCCTTGTACAGTGGTTACTAGGTAACACAGGTAACTTGGTACAGTGGTCACTAGGTAAC